CCAAGTGTGCTTTGTCCATTGTTAACACTAGCAGGAGAGAGAAGAAGCACCCACATGCTAGCCAACAGGCCCTCTGGACATCTGAATTGCAACCCATGAAGAAGACAGATCATAAACATAGATAATGATCTATGACTCAGTATTAGATTTCCTAGAGTGCCCAAGTCATGCAGCCTGAACTAGCAGCCACTCCAACACTGATGGATGACTGGAGCAGTCAAAGCACTTGGTGGCATCAGTGTCTGGGAAAGAATTCTCTTTCTAGGGAAGAGACACCATCAACCAATGGATTAGAAAGAAAATCAGAAGGTGCACAATGCTCAGGAAAGTCACCAGCTGTTGGTGCATCAGTAAAAACCTATGGGGATGATCCTGGGAAGTCACTGCAAAGAAGAACTAGAAGAGTTAGAGATGCCTCCCTGCTGTCATCCCTAGTGCTTTCTGCAGACCCTTTCCCTACCCCCAATTCAACACATTCCCAGGCTTCCTTTGGAAAGCAAAATCTAAATATCCACATTTTGCTGATGCAGAATCTCCAGAATATGGTTAGCTATTATTTAGCCAAAAAAAGTAGTGTTTCAGTTCTGCTTAGTGACAGTTTTATTTTCTGGTAAAGCATGTCAATGATAACTTCCCAGATATACATGAGACACCCCACCCATCCACACACACTTAACATTGGAAAATACAGTTTACATTCAATTTGTTAATAAAGCTGGAAAAATTAATCTTAAATAATAGTTTTTTTTAAACCTCTGCTTTTAAATCAAGTTCTGAATTACATTTATTTTACAGGACAAAAAGTTACCAGTGGTAAGAAATGTTTGGATTATGTGTATTCTTCAGATAATAAAAAAAAATCAGTTTGGTTTAAACATCTGCTCTGACTTAAAAAAAACAGATTATTGATTAATTTTATTACACAATATATATGGAAAGAATAAAAGTATTTAGCTTAAATATATTTTTGATGCATCTAAGAGAAAAAATAAATCATTATGGATTTTTGCAAAGTGCATTTTTATCTTTCTCTCTAATGCGAAAGTGAAACAAGAGACATCATTGTCTCCCTAGAGAATCTCATAACTTACAAAGAGCATCCTTCTCAGAAGCATTTACTCATAAATGGCCCCCCTGTACAATTGGTAATTACAGAGAATATGCCTAAGCCCCTATAACTGCTTATCATTTTTCTGGTTAATGCATTAAAAGAGAAAGGGGTAAAAGTTATCAAAAAGCTATATTATGAGCTCCCTATTCCCTATGGTGTTGCTGGATCATATGACAGAGGTTAAAGGGCACTGCTATGTAAAGACAAAAGGGTGTAAATTTAACATAGAGTTCACAAGGATGTCATCACTAGATGGTTAGTCTTGGGAGAGAAGAAAAGAAGAAGAGATGAAAACTGATCCCCAGACTTTTATGGGGATATGGAACAAGGTCCTAAGAAGGTTCCAAAATGGAAAGAGCATTAATACAGTGTCCAGAGTATACAGCAATCAGAGTATGCACCAGTGTGACTTGAGTCTCCTCCACAAATGCTAACTGCAATCAAGAAAATTTACTATGAAGTGAGCATAACAAATACAAAGCAATGAGTGTTAACACTAATGTAATTATCATAAGATACATTTTTTTAAAGATAGAGAGAGAGGAGAAAAAGAGAGAGAGAATTTTTTAATATTTATTTTTCAGTTTTTGGTGGACACAACATCTTTATTTTATTTTTATGTGGTGCTGAGGATCAAACCCAGTGCCCCGCACATGCCAGGTGAGCACGTTACCACTTGAGCCACATCCCCAGCCCCTCATAAGCTACATTTTTATTGGTACTGTGTTTAGCAAGAAACCACAATGGCCATCTCTAAATTATTTGTATTTGTTTCTAACAGCTCAAGTTTTGTCCCTACCAGAAAAGTAAAAACCTCTATATAAAAACCCTGACAAAATAAAAAAAAATAGTGTTTAATTACAAACTCAGTAAACCAGGGTTTTAGTCCCAAATGCTGAAGCAAAGAATTGAGTTAATTTTGTTAGTAACTCAACTTATACTCTTATTATTTTATTTCATCCTTTCTCCTATTGGATCTTCATGTGATACCAAAATGATGCATAATCTCTGGGGTTTACAGTTCATTCTTTGTAAAATAAGGGGAACTTTTTCTCAAAAACAGGTAAGATGTCAGAAAAAAAGGACCAAGATAACCAGGAGATTATGAGTATTTCTACATGGCCCATTGTTGAGAAAAATGATCTGTGTCATCATCTTGATTCCCTTATCTATAAAAGATTCCCTTTACCATCTCTTTCTTTCTTCCTTTGAAATGTTTAAATTACTTAAGAATTTTAGAGCTGGAATGGATTCTCTCTTTCACACACACACACACATACTTTATGCAGCTATAATTCACATACCACACAAATCACTCATGAAGTGTACAATCCAATGACTTTTAGTATAGTCATAGAGCTGTGCAACTATTGATTAATTTTAGAATAGGGACTAGACTTCTAAATCCTCTAATTCATCATAAAGAGAGAAAACAAACATCCAGATAGGTTAAGTCACATTTCCAAAGTCACAGAGCTGATCAGTGGCCAAGCCTTGCCTGAATCCCCAGGAATTATTTAGCCAATGACATCACCTGGGACTCCCTTTCCCCTGCCCCTGGGAAAGTTCTGTATGAATTAAAATCTGCTGTTAAAATGTTGTCTGAGAACATCTGGCACTTTTTATTACTGTGCTCCCTCTTATTATATTAATTCTCCAGTCTAATATCTCCATCAAGTCTGTTGCATTGCAAGATTTCTTAGAAAGACTTCTAGAACAGATAAAAGATTTATCTATTGGACACTTTAACCACAAAATGTTGTAAGCCTAAAAAGAATCTGCGATGTCTTTCCTTTCAAATGAAGTCACAAATTATTTCAGTCATGCAGAAAATAAGGGCCAAATGAACCTCTCTGCTCATTTCATTTTTTAATGAACTGATTATAAGTAATTAAGCCAAACCACCTATCACTAGCATAATATTTTTCCAATGCCAATAATTTCCAAGGATTTCAACCATTCATTCTGGATAGTGGTCAGAAATCAACCTCAATTTTCCAAGGGCTTACATCTTGGTTATCTCTGATATTTGCTCCTATAAAACCCAATACCCAATAAAAGAATTTTTTCAAAAAGAGGAGGTTTGGTCCTTTCCTGGGCTAAGGAAGTCCACATAACAAGTAGAGAAAACAATCATCCTGATACTCCCTGACCATGATGAACTTGGCCTCCTGGATGCCCAAGCTAATTGAACTTCTCTACCCAGCTCTCAGAATCACCGCTGATTATTTCCTCACACATCATTCCCCTGCCCCCATGAGACTTTTCTTTCTATCCTGTATTCTATTATTTCTTTCCTTTCTGTGTTTCTCCACCCCAAAACTTCATTTATTCAAATATTTACTGAGTAAGTCACTGCTCATCAAGCAGTAGGCTAAACATTGTCCCTAAATATGGTTGCTCCCAAGAGCCTGTATTTAGTCCACTATGCATTTTTTTTTCAATTTCCTCAGCACTTTTTAAAATTTAGGCTGGAAATTCCCCAAAATCATTAGCTCCAGTCTTGATCTCACCCCTGGACCCTGAAAGTAGGATATGCACCTGCTCCAAGACCAGTGACATCTGAACATCCCATACACCCCTCAAGGGCCCAGGTCCAACTGTGAATCCACCATCATTGCCCCCACCCAATTGGCACCTCCTCCAGGACTCCTGTCACCCTGAGTAGCACCACCGCCAACTCAATGTCCCCAGTCAAAAACAGCATCATCACACAGTTTCCTCATGGAGTGTGAGTGAGGGGACAGCAGTGCCTTTTAGCCTGGGATGGAGGCTAAAAGAAAATTTTGTAATGCCAGCTGTTTTGCTCATACCAATATGTGGGAGAAACAGCATGAAGCCTCATCACAAATATGGGTTCTGAATGAAATCTGGGAACCTGGGTTCTAGCAAAATTGAGTCTGGGAGGGAGAAGTGGGCCAAGCAACAGATCCCCAGAGGTGCTGGGGGTGAGTAGGTTTTGCAACGCGAACTCTGTCGTTGATGGAAGAGCCTGCAATGTTGGAAAACAAATTTGCTTGTCAACACACACACACACACACACACACACACACATTTTCTTGTTTCCCTGTTTTCCTGTTTCCTCTGCAATTCCCTTCCCCTCCTCCTACATCCCCAGCCACATTCCTCCCCATACTTCTCAAGACACATCTCTTCCTCCAAGGAGAAGCTTTCCCCGACGCCCCCACTGTGTTTTCTGCCATCCCCTGTGCGCGGAGGTGTGTCTAGCACTGTTTGTTTACGTGTTTGTCTCCCTGTCTCCCCACCATACTTTCAGCTCTTTGAGAGCAGGAGCCTGGTGCTCAGCCCTGGGTCACCACAGGGAAGATGATGGGAAAGGAAAGGACGGCACAGGAGAGCCCCAGTCAGGGAGCCCAGGACAGACTGGCGGTGTCCATTTCCCAGCGCGAGCTAGAAGCGCAGCGGGGCCCAGCATCCCTGGAGGCGCTGGTGCCCGCGCCGCCTCCTGGAAGCAGCAGGACGTGCCTTGAGGCGCCCGCAACCAAAAGGCTGGGGACTCCAGGGAGGCCCTGCCAGCCCAGTACTCCCTAAGGTCCTCCTCCCGACACGCGTCTCGGGAGGCCTCCACCTCCCCACGCCCGCTCAGTCTCCAGTGCCCGAGACCCAGTGGCCCGCCACCTCTGCTCTCTCCAGCACAGAACCTCTCAGATTTATAGGCGCTCGGGATGGCTGAGGACCGGGAAGGAGAAAGCGCCAACCAGCTGAGGAAAGAGCGGGCGGCCTCTCACCCCACCCTCAAGCCCTCCTAGGCGGGAAGAAAACGAGCCCCGAGAGAAGCCTCTTAGAGAGCTTGAGCCCCAAAGGCCTGGGAGCCTCCAGGGGCCGCAGGCTCCCGGCCCCCCTCCCTCATTCCAGTATGCCTCCCTACCTGGCTGGCTTTGTGGAACTGCTTCTTCAGCCCGGCCACAGACATCGCGGCTGCGTGAGGCCGGAGCGGGTGGTCTCGAGGTTTGGCCCTGACAGGCGCGCGCGACGTGCAGTGGCAGCCGGAGCCAGGGCCGGTCCCCGCGCGGCTGGGCTCCGCCGGGCCCGCCTCCCACGGCCACGGCCACAGCCACAGCCACAGCCGCTGTCACACTCGCACACACGCGCGCACGCAGATGGCAACACTGCGTTCCAAAGCCCTTGCGCAGCCCATTGGCCAAGCCGCGGCTGTATGCAAATGAAGCCGTTGGGGCCGCCCACGCTTCATTGTTGCGTGGAGACCTGCAGGACCTGAGCCTCTGGGAAGAAGCTCCTGGGAAGCTGGGAGTAGGGATATCCCGGAGATTCGGGGAGCAGAGCCACACAGGACTTACTGAGGATTGCCGAACCGTTTGCATCCATCTGGCTTTGAGACTGTCATGGACCCGGGAAAAGGGATCACCTCTATATTCTTCTGGGACTTAGTGTGAAACCTGCTTTTGCTCACCGGCATCAACATCGCCTCCCTCTGGCGCTTTTTCAGTAGATGTAAGCTCTAAGAAGGGGACATTCGGAAATTTGGGGAAAGAAATGCAACAGGACAGGGAACCTGCAGTAAGAGGAAGCTGCCTGGGGGCTGAGAAACGGGATGCCTTGGGTGCAATCTGCCCTAGCGATTTTGGTCCACCGAGAACCCAAAAGCTGTGTAATTTACCAATAAATATAGTACTCCTTTCCCTGATGCTCTGAGCCACTGTCAACTATATTATGAGCGTCGACCTAAAAGATGACATAAACAGCGCATTCTATTTCATATCCAGAGGAAATTCGCCATACCTGGGGCCCTTTCCCTCCACAACCCTTAACAGGTATGATAGTTGGGAAGCATGACTTTTGCACCGGTATTGAGGTCAGCGCTTCCACAGTGAAGGCTCGGCCAGGAACCTGAAACACGACATTGACTCTACATAGCTGACCTCCACATGCCCACGCTTATCTCTGAGTCTGGTTTTTGAAGTTCCTAAGACCTAAACTTTGGTAATGCTTAACATTGAAAGAAACATCTTTCTCTGTCAGCATCCACCTAAAAGAAAGTTCTTTTTGTGGGCCCTAACCAGGTCCCTATTTGGGTTGACTAGCAGCTCTGTTTGTCCTGGATACATTTGGTTTGTGCCTATGCCCTTGTCTTCCACTCAGCTATAGGCTTACTCAGAACAAAACTCTTAAATCCTGTCCCATGGTCATGAGCTCGCAACCCCCAGCCAGGTCTGAGTCCTAACTTCATCCTGGACAAGTAACTAGTTTCCTCATATTAGCCTGGAGAACATGGATTAGAGTCCATAGTGTTTTTTCCTCTTCTTATATGGTCGAAAAATGTGTGGAGATAGTGGAGATCCTGGGATAAGAGGTCCTAGTCTTTGGTGGTTTAAAGAGTGACTTGGGTTACCACTAAGGATTTGACTGGCCAAAGGGTGGCTGACAACAGTTACAGATAAATAACTAGAAGGTTTGAGGGTAGTGACAGCTAGGTCAGAAGAGCATAGCAAGATGACCTGTCCACAGAGCAGTCCCAACCCCACTCAACAGTGGATTCACCTGCTGGGTAGCTATTGTCTAAGGCAGAAAGCCAGCTGGGTCCAGGGCTGTATAGACCATACTTGCCTGCTTTTTCCATGCCTAACAGTAATTTAAATAGCATAGGCTCAAAGGAACTTCCTCCTAAACCAATCTGGCTCTGTGCTATTTGGGAAGGAAGTGGGTTCTTTTAAGAACAGCTTATTGGCATTTCTTCTATGATTGGTAGCATATGCAAGATTCCTACTTTGGTTAATTTTGGTCATTTATCTTCTTAATTTAATCAAGGGTGGAGTTATAGGTCACATTCTCATAATTTTTAAACCAGAATCTTTCATATACATTTTTTTCCTTTGTAAAAGCCTTTGTGATTTTTCCTAAGTTTTTTCAATGATTAGACTCATTGGAAGTTTACCAGTTGGGCTGGTCTTTTAAAACAATTTTTAATTTACTCATTTTTGCTATCAAGTGTTCTGGACACTGAACATGGCTACCAGAATGAGAGCTAAGCTGTTCCCTGCTTCTTTCAGATACTCACTCCAGCTTCAAAATTCCAGAGGATAGCACATAATTGGCTAAGTCCAGATGATGTGCCCAGGATCTAAGAGTCACACCATAGTCGATTTCCCTAATGTAGGAAGCTATTCAGTCAAAAAAACAAACTAAAAGATAACAACAAATGCCCACTAAAGTTTGAGTCTCCTTTGTGTTTCCTTAGTCTCTATGTATGGTTTATTTATTTTATTCTTTCTTTTTTTCTAAACAGAACTATAAAATTTGAGTTAATATTCTCTATCATTATCAATAAACATTATATGAAAGCCATGATGTGACTAGAATGTGCCATGGTCAGGCCACCTGGGCTGGGGCCACCTCATTCCCTCCTACTCCACCAGGACACAGCAGTCTGAGAGACCTGGGAGAAAGAATAGAATAGGCCCAGTATATTTAATCTGAAACATCAAAAAAGCCAGGTTGAGACTAGAGTACATGGGATCAATTTTGAGGTCAGGAGGCAAAGATGGAGAGAATACAATTTTAAAAGAAATTTTGAGATAAAAGAATCATGAAATTGTTTTAAATTAAAACTAAATGTTTTCATAAGTCTGTATTTTTCCATTATAGAGCACTTAAAGAAAATTTGGAAACTATGAAAAAGAAAAAATAAATGGAAAAATTACCCTTGGAATCATATTTAAAATAGCTACTCAATATTTTGTTATTTTTAATTTTTTAATTTATTTTTTATAAACTGACATAAGAACTTTAAAATTATACATATTTTGGCAACCATTGCTATTTTGATACATGTATACATTATACATTGTGCAATGTTTAAATTAGGTTATACATATCTATCTCCTCAAGCACTTATCATTTCTTTACAGTAAAAATATTCAAATTCCTTTAAGAATTTTGAAATATAGTGTATATTATTGTTACTTGTGGTCGTCCTACCATGCAATGGCACCCTAAATCTTCTTCTTTTTTAAATATAGTTTTTAGTTGTAGGTGGACATAATGCCTTTATTTTATTTATTTTATGTGGTGCTGAGTATCGAACCCAGTGCCTCACACACATGAGGCAAGCACTCTGCCACTGAGCCACAATCCCAGCCCCCCTAGATCTTCTTACTCCTAACTCCAACTTAGTGTCTTTGGTCAACCTCACTCCATCCTTCTACTCTTCAGAGGCTCTGATGACCATCATTCTACTCCCAACTTCTATTTGATCAAGGTGTTTAGATTACACATATGAGTGAGATCATGAAGTATTTGTCTTCCTGTGTCTGAATTCTTTTACTTAAAATAATGATTTCCAGTTTCATCCATGTTGTCACAAATGAATTTTTGTCATTTTTATAGTCTTTTTCCTGTGCAAATTGCAAACATAACAGTGTCATCACTAAACATATTGTATTGTCTTCTTTGTTCTCTTCATTACATGAACTTTTTCTATATAGTCTGGTCTTTATACACATTTTTTCATGACAACTTAGTAAAACCAATTATTTGGATCTATCAATTTTTTATTTCATTATTTTCTATTATTACATGTTTAAATGGGTTTAAAAGGGGTTTCCTCTCCAAATTTTTTCATAAGATAAACAATTTAGCATTAAACATTTCTTTTCATAATATGTTTTTCTGCCTGTATTTAGGATTAGTTCATTAGGATGGACTCTGAGGTAGAAAATTAGTGTACCAAAGGACTTGAATAATTCTAAATGCAAATCCATGTATTATATATACCTAACAGTTTTAATTGCTACCTTGATACATGGTCATGGTGGGGGCAGGTGAGAACAAAGAAACATATATTTGTGTCTTCCATTTGCCTTGAACTGAATTCCATGTCATTAAGAAGCTGATTAACCTGTGGTCTGATACAAGTTCCAGATCACAGTTCTTGGCAGTACCTGGAGAACTGAGTCTTACATTAACCCTAAAATGTTAGTTTAACCATGACCTCTCAATTTCTAACTTTGACTCTCTTTTTCCTGGAAAAAAATGTGCTTACCTGGCTGGACTCCCTTTCTCAGGAGATATCCCAGGTCACTCATGCATAGAAGGGCAGGGCTTGGCTCAGTGTGCTAAGTATTTAGATTAACTAGACCTAGAAGCATTCTTTCCCTTACATCCTCACATATCTGGCTGTAGCAGAAAGCTGAGAGCATGGGTACTATTTTGCTTTCCTTGTAACTTCATAGGCTCCCCACCCCCACCCCACACACATCTGGGAAAGATATGTGCCCATCAATGAGGTAACAGAGCAGATGTGATGAATCCCAGATGTTGAACATGGCAATTTGCCTTGAACTTGCAAGTTCACAACTAGAAACAATGTATAGATTTTCTTCAGTTATCATTTTACATGAAGCTGAGGGAAAAATCAATTGATCCATCAAGGAAAAGCAAGAAAGAATTTCCATTTTAAAATGCAAAGGATAAAACCTGAATGATTTAATTTACTTAGAAATGGGTATTGAGGGGAGGGTATCATTTCAACAATAAAGGCAAATATAATTAACTAATGAATTAATTGTATATCATAGTTACCAGCAACACATGATTCTATTATTCTGAATTCTAGAAACATTGTTAGAATTCTGGGTCACACTGCAACCATAATTGTCGTTTGTTAATTACATAGGTTCCATTTTACATTTCCATATCTTCCCCCAGGGGATTTACTGTTCATTTCCAATAAAGAGATGCATAAAATTTACATCTGGGATGAGGGATTTAGTTGAGCCCTACAGATAGCTTTTGTAAACTACTGCTGCCTCCTTGTGGTGTTACTTAGAAGTGACAGGTAAACCTTTCTGAAAGCAAATCAAGCCCTAAATGCTTCAAAGTTTGTGGGGGTTTATTATTATTATTATTATTATTATTATTATTATTGTCAATGGACATTTATTTTATTTATTTATGTGTGGTGCTGAGAATCGAACCCAGTGCCTCACATGCTAGGCAAGCGCTCTACCACTGAGCCACAACCCCAGCCCTAATGCTTCAAAGTTTTAAAAGAGCACACAGCACTATTAGCACTCAGTAACACATT